GGAGGGTGAGCGAGTGCTACCAGCAGCAAGTGAAAGTGCCCTCACAGAAACCACACTGCCACTCTGACAACCGACACATTTACTCGGCAACTGCAGACCAGGTATCATCATCATCATCAGCATCGGCGACTGCCCACTTTCTCTAAAAGAAGACGCACACACAGGTCCATCAGTCAATTCTCGCGCAGTGATGATGGTACTGGGATTAGCGCGCATTAGGCAGGTACTAATTGTCGTCACTATCATCATATCATTACCAATATTATTAGGGATAAACAAAAGGCAGGATTGTGTGCGTCTGTGTTTGTGTGCGATTGCAGGACGTGCACAACTAGGCAGTCACAATTGACAATATTGGTGGCACTGTGGGAGAGTGACTGCTGCGACACTGTGTACACCGTACAATGTTTGCGCCTCGATAAAGAATCGAGTGGGCCATTGGAGCACAGAGGCAGAGGATAATAAAGCTTGTCGCTATATTTAATTAGTGCCTGTCTCGATCGCGCGCGCGATTGTGTTCTGGCAAGAGAGAGTGAGAGAGAAAGAGAGGAGAGGAAAGAGATAGAGTAAGTTGCCAATCACCGCAGGTGGTGCGGCTTGAAATCGTAGCTGCTCGATTTGCGCGAAACTTATGGGAGTCAGCGTTGGAGAAAAGAAGCTCCTCCAAGAAGAAGAAGAAGAAGAAGAAGAAGCAGTAGCAGCAGGAGAATAGAGAAGGTTCTTTGTGAGCTGCCCAGTGGAGAGCCAGACCGTGTGAGGACGAGAGGAACGTTGGGAGGACGAACACGCCGCGCCGAAATGATTGGTCCCGGGCAAAGAGTACCGCCGACACGAAGGCAACGACAGACAGACAGACAGACAAAGAATCCGGAGTTCAAACTGTTACTTGTTACTTCGCCTCTTTACTCGCTGTCAGAGAGTGAGAGAGTGCGAGAGAAGGTATAATAGGCGTGCGAGAGCACGTAACAAGTAGGAAACAAAGCAAGCTGCGAATAGCTTTATTGCCACTGCTGACCACTGCGCTTCAACGTGACCTTTGCCTGATCACTGGCTTAGTGGTGGTGGTGGTGGTGGTGGAGGTAGCTACAGCAGACCCTCAATGAGATTCCGGCATTCCATCGACAATCGGCGACTGCAGCGGCAGCAGTCGCCGCTGGCCAAACCCACGCACTATAATAGTGTCCCCCTCTCAGTGAGCAGGAGCAGGAGAAGGAGACGAAGGTAAAGAAGCCATTTCCGTAAGCAAAGACGCGCGCGCTCTCTCACTCACTCACGATGGCAGATATTGCTGTGGGCAATGAAGCCGTCCACTCGCGTAACGAGCTCACTAATGGCGATAAGGACAGGTGACGAAATGCGACATACCTTTTTGGAGATTTCGTTCTTCGAGCGAGCCAACTCCAGTGCTTCGCTCAGCAGTGATGGGTAGGCGTTAAAAATGGTCTCAGGGTTGTATTGTGCCACCATCGAGTCAACCAGCTTCTTCAGCGTCACCGCCAGCTCCTTCCAGGCCTTGCTGATGGCACTCAGCTCGGAGGTGTTGATGCAATCGGCCACTATGTCTCGGCAGGTAGAGCGACAAGGCTGGTGCTCCCTCAAGGACGGCTGTTCCAGCAGGCAGGAGCCACAGTGAAAGCTTCCGGCCAGTTGACGGACGCACTTTTCCTCCAGTCGAACTGCCTCTGATCGCTCCATCAGCTTGGAAGCTAAAAGGAACGACTGAAGAATGAGTCTGCGGTGGAAGGAAAGGTGAGAGAATGAGATGAAATGAATGAAGCTGTCGGTGGTGTGTGTGAGTGTGCTTGAATGTGCCTGCCTGCCTGCTTTCATCCACTACAAACTCTGAACAAAGTAAAGTCCACTCCACAAAGGTCAAACGTGTTTGTGCCACTCGGCTTGACCTTTGACCACCCCACGCACACGGCGACGGCTGCTGCTGCTGTTGCTGTGGCCGTGTCCGCTGTGAAGAGATGTGCGCAGTCCACTGAAGAGGAGGGTGAGGACGCGCCGTATGCCGAGGCAGACAAAGCGATGGCATTTCAAAAATGCACTGCACAGCACATGCACTGCGGCAGCGGCAGCAGGCAGTCGAGACGCGCGCGACCGGATTTGCCTCACCTCAGTGCGCCTGCAATCGACCCCGAATTCCGTGCACTCACGTCAGTCCGAGTGAAGAGTGGTGGGGGTAGGCAGCAGATAGCAACAGCATCGAACAGGACAAGAGAGAGAGAGAGAGAGAGCAGGAGAGCGGAGAAAACAGGCAGCCACATGCACAAACATGCCGGCAAACATAGCAACACTGTCACTGGAGGATGACCAAGTCGACTACGGCCGCGGCGGCGACGACCTCATCAGAGCATGGCAGAAGTGATGCTGCCACTTTTAAAGGCGAGCAACCCCTTCACATGCCGATGCAAATTGCCCGGCAACGCATCCGATGCACACTTTACATTATCTACGCCATCTCGCAATCGATTCCTACCTGGATGTCTCGATGACGTTCTGCACGCTGTTGGTGAGCTTTCGGCGGATTCCACCAAAGAAGTCCACAAAATTGACTGATGACAGACAGTTGATGTAGTCGGCAGAGATGGCTGGACTCTGGAAGTGGAGGAAACAAGAAGGTTAGCACCACTGCAGCTAAGAGATGCTCACTGGAGTTCTTTGTGCCTTGCTGTGCTTACATGTGACTCGTATTCGCTGATGACGATGGCCTGCAGTAGATTGTCCGCGTGGACGTCTACCGAGCCAACTTGGGACGCTCTGAAGGCATTTCGAGTCACCCATCTGACTAGCTCTTGGTTAGCCAGTGCAATTCGAGACGAGTATTTTTCGTTGACCCTCTTTATGGTCTCGTTGAATATTGAGGAGAGCTGCGAGCGGATGCGGCTGTCACGTTGCTCAAAACTATGTCGAAATGACTTCAAGTGTTTATTTAGCTGTTGACTGAAGTTAATTCGAGTTTTACTCTCGATGGCCAACTCAAGGCCTGCACAGCAGCTGGAGGATGATGTCGTCGGGCAGATGCCTTTGATGAGGCCTCGCGAGTGCTGATGTGACGAGTGCACTCTGTTCGCCAGTCGAATCCTTTCACATTTACTGTCCTGAGCAATGGGACTGCACTGGCTGAGGCTGAGCAGTGCCACCACTGTCAGCACCGCTGCTAAACTGACAAACACTGAATCACCGTACACTGCCATGTTGAACATGCAGACGCACACAAGGCAAAATTATCACACAAAATTGCAATGAAAAAAAGCAGGAGAATGACCTCAGTAGAGGGTTGAAAAGGAGACACTATGAGGTGATGACGATGCGATGAGATGGCCAAGAGAGATGACAGTGGTGAAAAGCGGTGTGCCCGTCTGATAAGAAGACACTGTTCGTGAGTGTCAGTGTGAAGTATGAAGGGGACAATTAAAATATCATTGAGTATGCTGTGAGAGAGTCAGAGGTCGCATTTGAGCAGCCTGTAGCCTGTAGTGTCGTCTGCTGGTGTTGGTGCCGTCAGACGTGCGGCATGCACAGCTCGGTCGACGCACTGAATCCAAATAATCGCCGCCGATGATGGCAAGAAGAAGCAGTGCAGCAGCATCGGCAGCAACGGCGACTGGAGGAGAGAGCGCGGCGACGACGGCCTGAGCAGTCACCGTCCGTCAGCCTGGCAGAACTCACTCACCTGCAGCCTAGGTGAGTGCAGGCAGAGGCGCCTCCAGTTGCTCGTAACGCCCGCCCCTACTGTTGTGCGGTGGACTGCTGTGGACGTCTGCTTCATTCATCGAATTGACTAGTGCCGTGAGATTCATTCAAAACATGACCCTCTCTCACGGACAGACGATGGAAGACGCTGACTACGGCTACGGCTGCCTCGGTCGCTGCCAGCGAGGAGGGCCCAGAACACTTTCGCCGACAGTTCTTTCTCTCCCACGAGCAGCAGGCAATAACTACCTGCCTGCCTACCTATCTACTTACCTGCTTACCTGCTTACCTGCCTGCCTGTTGTTTGCTGTTGTGATCTTTCAGAGCAGGACACACTTTTGAGAGAGAATGCAAAGACAACTTCCTCTTGGCACTTGGCACTGCCTAGGGGAGAGAGATGACTGGACAGTGGTCAAAGGAGGCACGCTGTTCTTTACCCTGTACCCTAGCAAACTGGCACTTTTTCTCTTGTAGTAGTGGGGTAAGATAAGAGCCGAGTAAGCTAACTCAATGGATTTAGGGGTTTAATTGTGATATGTAATTGCAAGTGTACAGGTAGTTTAGTAACCGCTGTACACTACTGTTGGCGCATTTCGTTCGGTATTTCGAACACCTCAAAAACTTTAGTGTTTCCAGCGAACTGAAAGAACACATGTCTTGCAGATGACAGCATCTCACCACTTTGCCATTTGCTCATTTGAAGATGATCATTTTTCGCCAAAAAAATTCAAATTATGCTCTGTCCTACCACCTGGTGGTTGACAGACAAACTATAAGGCGTAAGGCGACAGATTTCATTAGCAGGCAGGTGGCACACCTCTCTGCCACAAACTAAAATGAAGTCTATCCACCTACAATATTCTTTGAAAGGTGTGCTATTGCAAATTTTCCTAATGAAGCGAGAAAGGATGGTGTCCTAGAATGCAATCNTGCGGCGAAGAGAGAGGGAGCAAGATTCCCGGAGGTTTCTTTCTAGAATGATTACGGCAGCCATCTTTTGCCATGCGCATTTGGGTGCTGCACTGAGAGCACAGCGCCACTGCGCGGCCGGCGAGCAGCTCGATCAGTTTTGCGTGCAGCATTGCTTTGTTCGGCTCCTGCTATCTTGAACCTGAGAAGACCACTCAAGTCCCATTCATCGGTCAGTCATCGCCAAGGCGCCCTGGCCCGTACTGGATAAATTGACTGACAACCATAGGCCTCCCTCACTCATTGCGCCCAGTCTACGCTCGGTGGACGCACTGTCACTAGCTCACTCCTTGTCGCCGAGTACTCTCCACTTGTATTCTCTCTCTCGCTCTCTCCCTATCCCTCTCACACACTCTCTCCTTCCAGTCCAATCCGGCAAGTCATCAGCGTCTCTCCGCCGCTCTGTCACTTTCCCAAACGCGAAACTTCTTCACGGCCCAAGCAAATTCCTTGCCCCACTCGCTAATCTCTCTGGTCTCAACACTTGTTGTCGATTTCCAACTCCACGATGGCATCAAACGCAACGATGTCGATGACTGCTAATCACGCAAATAATGGCATAAAGTAAGTGCACCGTTTTGCTTTCCTTTGTTTTCCTTGCTCATTGTTGTCTCCTTTCGTTGTCCCACCTCAGAGACGACTGGAAAGCCAAGCTGAAAATTCCTCCAAAGGACAACCGCGTCAAGACTAGTGATGTTACCTCTACCAGAGGAAATGACTTTGAGGAGTACTGCCTCAAGCGGGAACTTTTGATGGGCATCTTTGAGCAAGGCTGGGAAAAGCCTTCTCCCATTCAAGAATCAGCTATTCCAGTGGCACTACTTGGAAATGACGTTCTCGCTCGGGCCAAAAACGGTACAGGTAAAACTGGCGCTTACACAATTCCCATGCTCGAGAAGATCGACGTGAACAACAACGCCATCCAGGCTTTGGTGGTTGTTCCTACGCGCGAACTGGCTATGCAGACTTCAAATATTTGCATGGAGCTGAGCCGACACATGGGCGTGCGAGTCATGGTAACCACCGGAGGAACCAATCTGAAGGACGACATCATGCGCATCTACGACAATGTTCACGTGGTGATCGCCACCCCCGGCCGCATACTTGATTTAGTCGAGAAAAAGGTACATTTCCTTCTTTACCTGCTTGAGAATTGCTTTCGAAAAATCTCTAAGCCCGTTTTTGTTATTACTTTTCTGTAGGTTGCCTCTCTAAATAACTGCAAGTACTTTGTCCTCGACGAGGCTGACAAGCTGCTGGGCCAGGACTTCAAAGGAATGCTCGATACTCTGATTTCATACCTGCCCGAAGAAAGGCAAATCCTGCTCTTCTCAGCCACTTTTCCCATCACTGTCGAACAGTTCATGCGCAAACATTTAAAGAACCCTCATGAAATCAATCTCATGGAAGAGTTGACTCTAAAGGGTGTGACGCAGTACTACGCTTTCGTGCAAGAGCGACAAAAGGTCCATTGTCTGAACACTTTGTTCTCGAAACTTCAAATCAACCAATCCATCATCTTCTGCAACTCTACTCAGCGCGTTGAACTTCTCGCAAAGAAGATCGCTGAGCTCGGCTACTCCTGCTACTATATTCACGCCCGCATGTCGCAGCCTCACCGAAATCGCGTTTTTCACGACTTCAGGAGTGGCCTCTGCCGCAACCTCGTATGCAGTGATCTCTTTACTCGTGGTATTGACATTCAAGCAGTCAACGTGGTCATCAACTTTGACTTTCCGAAAATGGCCGAAACCTACTTGCATCGCATTGGCCGATCAGGCCGTTTTGGTCATCTCGGTATTGCCATCAACCTGATCACCTACGAGGACCGACACCTACTTCACAAAATTGAAGCCGAACTGAACACTTCAATATCACCAATTCCAAAAGTTATCGATCCTCAGCTGTACGTGGCTGAGGCACAAGAGGCTAACCACCAGGACAAGTGAAAGGAGGAAAAGGCGTGAATTAGGAAGAAGGAGACTGCTGTTTGATTTTTTCTTCAAGTGAATGTCGCCACCATCATCACCACCACTACCACCACCACCACCACCACCGAGACAGCAGCAGCAACAACAAACTTGTCTTTTAGCACAAAATGCAAGCATCATCAACGCGAGGAGGAGGAGAAGAAGAAGGAGGACACTGATTTTTACTACATTCTACCAGTAGTCAAATATTATTCAAATTAGATTAGATATTTAAGCTCTTGTTCTTGAATCTAAATTTTCTATTTTGTTTTTTACTTTCTTATTATTGCCGCCGGTTCTTTTTCATGTTCCCAAAAGTCCAATTTGTCCAAATTTCAGGCCAATGGCCACTTTCAATTGCTACTACTACGACCACACCTCCTTCATTACCACTCTTTGGTTTGTTAGTATCCAAAATTATGAATTTAAAGCCCTAAATTACAAGTAAAGATTTTCCGTTCACCACCACCAACAATATTAGCAGCAGCACGACGAGAGAGATGATGTGATGTGCCTTGAGGAGTAGGACGATCCACTCGTGGACATGCGCGTAAGCACTCTAGCGTTCAGCACAGGCCTGTGCTAGCACTTGGCCACGGTTCTCACTTGCGGACGGATTGTGATCGTCGTGTTTCTGGTGTCGAGCACCATTACCTGCGATTGACCAGGTGGCAATGGCTGACGATAATGCCATTCCCGTGCGCATTGGTCACTACGAGATTCTCAAGACCATAGGTGGGCGGCTGGAAGCACTCCCTCCCTGACAGCACTCACTTACATCCTTCTGTTTTTGTCTCCTTTCCCTCTCTCCCCCTCTCCCATGGTCTCCTCTCTAGGTAAAGGAAACTTTGCCGTGGTCAAGCTCGCTCGCCACACCATCACCAATTTGAAGGTTACTACTACCCGGCGTGATAACGCCTTCTCACCAGTTCCCCTTGACCATCTTCTCACTCTTCTCTGTCTTTCTTCCTCCCTTTAGGTGGCCATCAAGGTAATCTCGACCAAAACATTAGACTCCGACCAGCTGAGGAAACTGTACCGTGAGATAGACATCATGAAACGCATCGGCTTTCACAAAAACATTCTCCGGCTTTACCAAGTAATGCAATCAGATCGACATGTGATGCTCGTCACCGAGTACTGCGGTGGGGGAGAAATATTTGACCAACTAGTAGCCAATGGGCGAATGACGGAGAAGAATGCTCGTCTGTACTTTCATCAAATCATCGATGCCGTCATCTACCTCCACTCCACCGGGGTAGTTCATCGAGACTTGAAGGCGGAAAACCTCTTGCTCACCGCCGACTACAAATGCGTCAAACTAGCAGATTTCGGATTTTCCAATTACTACTCTCACGATAACTTTCTCACAACCTGGTGCGGCTCGCCACCTTATGCGGCCCCTGAGCTTTTTGAAGGCAAGCAATACAACGGCCCCAAGGCGGACATTTGGTCACTTGGGGTGGTACTGTACGTTCTTGTCTGCGGGGCGCTACCATTTGATGGCAACACACTGCAGTCACTAAAGTCCCGCGTGCTGTCGGGCAAATTCCGCATACCGTACTTTATGTCTTGTGATTGTGAACATCTCATTCGACATATGCTCATCACCGATCCCGAGAAGCGGTACACTCTGCAGCAGATCAAGCAGCACAAGTGGATGCGGGAAACGGTACTTGGCGGCAGCAGCGGCAACAGCAGCAGCAGCAGTAGCGGCAGCAGCACTGCCACCGTCGCCGTGGAACAGGCCTCGGAAAAGCTAAGCGATGAACTCCAGAACTGTCACATAAGCGGCGAATCGGCCGCAAACATCGCCAGTAGTGGTGATGGTGGTGCAGGTGCCGCCATGAGGAGCGACGAACTGGACACCTCCATAGTGGACTGGATTGCCTCCGAGTTGAACGTCGAGCCGGAGGACGTCCTGGAGTCCATCAACTCTCGCCTCTTCGACCAATATTACGCACTCTATCATCTCGTCAATGATTCTAGTCATTGTTCATCGCTGTCTGCGCCCCCGTCGCCGCCATTACTCCCGATAATTCCGTCCTCTAATCAGCGCAAGTCCAGCATCACCACTGGCATTGTTGAGCGGGAATCCACTCCAACCAGCTTGACGCCCAATGTCTCAAACTTTCGTCGGCACACCTTCGGTCCTGACACTAACGCCTCATCTGTTAATTCAAATTCTCAAAACCAACTCGTCACACCACCGCTTCTATTCCTAACGCCGCCCATGGTGGCCAGTACGATCGCACCTCCGATTGCCAATCTTCCCTTCGCACCACCCAACTATCCCATCACCAACATGGACCTCCTTCGACCGCCTCCAGTGCTACTCATGGTCAACAACAACATGGGCCGGAGAGCCTCGGACGGGCAAGCGAACTACACGCGAGCTTTAATCGAAGCCACACAGGGCCCCTCAACCAGTGCTTCCACCTACAACTTCACCACAAACAAGGCTACCACTTCGCATCAATCTTCGCCACCAGTCAGTTACTTTAAGCGAAAGCGACACTCGCTAACTGACACCAACGAAATTGTTTCTCGCCAGCGGAGATCAGGGTTGACTAACGTCGGCGTCAGTAGCACAATGGAAAGGTAAGGCACAGTGGCGATTGAGGAGAAAGTACAAGTATGCTCATGTTATTTTCCCTTGAACCAGGTCTAGGCGACGAGCTTCGGACGGGTGTGGACTGCTCGCCAGTGTCTATCAGCAGCACATATCGATATCCACTTTACAGAACGAACTGCGTGCGCTGTGTGTTTCTTCACCGCCCTCTCTGCACGCCTCGCCAATTCACGCGTCCTCGATGGCAAGCCAAACTCACATGTCAGCAATCGCCAATTCTTCTGTCGCCTCACTGCCGCCCTCTTCCCCTCCTCCTGCGCTTCCGTTGATCAGCGAAGAGAACACTCCCTCTACCAGTCACAAACCAGAGGAGACGACGACGGAGGCCACCACCAGCACAGGCAACAGCAGTATCAGCGGGGGCAGCAGCGCTCACCACATGAGCAACCTTCAGAAGACGCTGATGTCTGGACTGCTGTCGAAGGGCTTCGCCGGTTCGCCCGTTCCGCTGATCACTCCTCCACACTCGTTCCGCTCCTCTCCGGTGACCTCTCCGAACACGGCACCCTCCATCGCCATCACTGACGAGCTGGGCACGTTGCAATTCTCCAACTTTCCCATATTACCTCCTCCCATTGACTTTCAACTGGTCAGCTCCCATCCCAATCTGGACAATGACCCGGAGAAGCCGTCAGTGTCTGCCGATATGCTGCTCAATAAGCTGCACCGGTGGGGAAACGAGGAACGTAAGTACTGACGCTGTGGCAGCCAGAGTCTGGCTGCCAGGCTGCTGGCTGCACGCCTCCCCACTACTCACTGCCTTGTGCATGCACTCAATTGAACCCTTTCTATTTTCTTCCTTCCTTTGCCTTATAGATATAGTAGCCAAACTTGATAAATACCCTTTCATCACGATCGATAGTTAAATCTTCCAATGTGATTCCTATTCTTTCTCACCTTCTTTGGCTCTCTTGTTATTTTTCATTTTATTTTATTTCCTAGACCTCTATTAGACAACTCTTTTCCTTTATTTTTTTCAAAGAATAATTCATCAAAGTATTTTATTATTTTCTTTGTTTCATTTTGTTTGCTTATTTGTTTTTGTTATTTTGCTCCTCCTTTCCCTCTTTCTGATGCTTGCAATACTGATGCTGCTAGTTGATGTGCCTTCGATAATAAAGAAAGCAATGTGATACGTCATCAAAGCCCCTATCTAGAACATCTCATCTCCTCAATTCACCTTTTCTCTCTCTCCCTCTATCTTTCAGGAACAACGGTGGAAGAGAGCGGTGGTGGGTCGTGTGGTGCCTTTCCCTCGCACTCGACGACCATCGATGTGCTGGCGAAAGCGGCTGCAGCGGCGGCGGCGACGGCGGCGGCGGCAGCGACCGGCGCCGATGAGCCGGGTGGACTGCACTACTCGAGTCTGCAGTGTCTGCACTGTACCCACCACTCCACCCACCTCACGACCACCGACTCGGGCAGCATCTGCATCAAGGACAGCACGGCAGTCTCCAAGCTGCTCAACAAGCTCAGTCCTCTGGGCTACCTGGACGAGGCGAGCAGCTACCCGGCGGCCAACTGTCAGATTCTCAACTTTGACGAGTCGAACATCAAGATCGCCCTCGAGTGGAACTCCCTCCAGCAGCAGCTCATCCTGCGGCACATCTCCGGGGACGCATCTCGCTACAAGAACCTGTGTCGCGAACTTATATCAACCATCATTTGATCGTCGGTAATTTATTGATTACCAAGTGTTTGCCAGTACAATCACGTGTCAGTGTTGTTGATGGGCTCTAGAAACCGGTGTATGCCGTGAAGAGGCGTGATAGAACCGACTTGGACTTGTTCTCCTTGTTTGTCGCCTTGGTCGGTTTCTCCAGCAACTTACTGCACTCGGGTCGCTCCACGCCGTATCCTGCCGATGGAGCAGATGCACAGGGAAAGAGAGCGAGAAGGAGAGATTGAAAGAAAGAAAGATGGTCATTAGCACAACTCGCATCACTTTTCCTTTCCAGCACACATTGTCTTTGTGTATCATTCACACCATACGCACCATGACATAATATACTCGGCAATCTTGACAGTGCCATTCGCAGCAGAGCTAGTGAATGGTGAATAAAAAGCACAGTTAAGAAGATGCATTTAGTTTCCTAGGCAAGTTTTTAACTAATAATAAAAAAATAAAAACTCTGAACACTCACAACTAAAGAATTCAATGGCTTCCTTGCCGCACTTTTGTTCAATCACTTTTTCGGTGCAGTCAAGGAATATCTTGTAAGCACAACAGGCGGCGGAAATTCTCAATTCAAAATCCAATCGGGGAACAATGTCTAGTGCAAACTTAAGGCTGCGTACGCAGTTTTTCGGTGAGCCAGATCCAGAACGAGTTACCTGGTTGAGACAGGGGGCGTGTTTCAGGTAGTTTTTCCTTGAAAAAACAAATCACTCAAAATAAGCTAGTTTTGCCAGAAGGGGACATACTCACTGGAGTTTTGAGCGGGGAGTACAGTACTCGGAGATTAGTCGGTGAGAGCCTGAGAAAGACAAGAGCTCGCTTATAATAATTTCATTGAAAAAGCAGCAGTACCTTCAGTAAGAAAGGAGATCAACTCTCTCTGAAGAGGTGTCGTACACTTTTGAGTGTAATTCTGGAAGCATTGCTCCGTTTCATGCAGGTAACCGCACTGTTTGGCCAGTTGAGGCTCAGTTGTGGCGATTCCTTAGGTGACGAAAGAAAAGTGAGCATCAGGAGTAGAAGAAACATTTTCACTTACCTGATGGATTATGGGTAAAGAGTAGAATCGTCGCTACACAATAGTCTGCAAATGAAGTACGCTTTAGACTGACTGAGTGGAATTGGACCTAGAATTACCAAGTTCTCGAAGGTGACAGTTGTGACCGGCCAAAGA